CAAGTTATAGTTATTATACGAACTGCATAAAAAATTAAAAAAAATAAAACTTGGCATGTCATACCAACTCTGTACTCAAACAAAAGTGGGCAGGCCATGAGAATTTGTTACCAATTGTTGGACTTTTGGCTAAAATATGAATGTGGTTGTGCCATTTTTGGCCAGATTAAGGAAAGACTTAAAGCAGAACACCCTATTTTTTCTTTTGGTGGTGGGTATGTGAAGCAGTTTGATCCTTCGCTGGTTCTTTGCTGTTGCCTGTGACCACTACTGTAGCAGCCAGGACTCTGCTGTGAGATGTAGTTCCTCAGTTTGTCTCTCAGCAGCATATTTTTAATATTTTTTAATATTTTTATATTCGTAAATCAAATCCAATAAAAGGCCAGTGACATACTGGTTTCAAAAGCCCCCTAGTGGACATGTGACATTCAGAATCTTTTAAACACCTTAAATATGTTATTGTTTTAAAGTGACATTAAACTCAAAAGTAAAATCTTAAAAATACTTTCAAGCACCCTAACTATTAACAAAAATGTCTCTTATTGTTTGTATCACTTGGCTGTAGATCCTCAAATCATCTCTGACACTGTCCTTCCTTCTGGAGGGTGGCTACTTTTGTTCCCCATGGTCCCTGTGTGTGTTGTAAAGTAGTAACCGCTCTAAGCTCGCTCCCATGATGGACTACAATCTCATGTTTAGTTTACTCATTTGTATTAAGATTGTAGTCCATCACGGGAGCGAGCTTGGTACTTTACAACACACACAGGGACCATGGGGAACAAAAGTATCCACCCTCTAGAAGGAAGAACGGTGTCTGCACCAATTCAGAGATGATTTAAGGATCTACAGCTGAATGATGGACAAATAACATACATTTTTCTTACGAGTTGATGGAACTGTGTTATTGGCAGGGTTACTAGGTGAATAAAGGAATGCCTAAAAAAAAAAATGGAGCCCCCCACATGTAAGAACTGGTATGCTGCCGTATATTAAAGTTTTGGTTCTAGATAAGCTTTAAACATTCTATCAAAAAATAAAATCATAATGTGGACTCCACTTTTCTAACTTTTTAATAACGGCACGATAAATCAAAAGCAAAATGGCAACTGTTTTAAAGCCATGGGCTGTCTAAAAACTTCGGCTATTACTTATACTCCAATGAAAACCGTTTAGTTAGCTAAATATAGCAAGGAAACCCTTGAATGGATTCTTTAACAATTTAGTATTTCAATGTTTTTAAATGGAATTACTAAAGACTTGGAAGACAATTAGTTGTGAAATTGTTTTTGATTAAAGCTGAACTCCAGGATCAGGTTTTAACCATAGCTGCCTCTGCCCTAGGACAATAAAAGCGCTTATGTGTTGTGAACAATAATGTCTTTCATTTGAAGTTAAAGTTTTTCTTTCATGAGATGTTATCACTGCCTTCTTCCTCGCTTGCAGTGCTCAAATACCAGTAGGAGGGTCAAAGCAGGTGGTGCACATCATGTCCAATGTGTGCCGCTATTGGTGAATAAGAACTACATTTCCCATTATGTCATACAAAAATAGTGACATTGGGGCATGCGGGCATTAATCAGGGCTAATGCTTGAGGACTGTGGGCAGGCTGGCTGCAACTGGGTGCTGTGTGGAAATAACTTCAGCCCACAGAAGGAACACGTAACAGCTCTAAACTATGAGTAGCAGCAACAGGTAGTGCAGCCAGAAGCCATTTCACCATACGGAGAAAACAGTCGCACAAAGGGTATCTGAAAGAGGAGCATTGAGGGATCCGTTTGGGGGATACATTATATATGAAAAACATACTCTGAGAAGAAACTTTGATGTTTCTTTGATAATAGTAATAAAAGTAACCTGGCTGGAGTTTAGCTTTAAGTAAAGTAGAGAGGCCAGGAACTGCTTCATGCTGGAAACATCATTGTCAGCACGCCATTTCCTGGAATCTCAAATGTCAGTTTACCATGGTCACTGAAATGTAAAAAGAGCAATGAGAGCACGAGTTTGGAGCAATGGGAGTTCTAAATAGTTTTCCAGTTCATAATTAGTATGATGCAAGATTCCTCAAGTACCTCAAGATTCCAAGGGATTCTGTTTTCCAACTGTGCTTCAGCAAAGTGGCTTTTATATTATTGACTACTAAAACACAGTAAGAACACAGAGAACTTATCACCATAACTTTCAAAGTTCCTTGAGTCCTGCAATTTATTTGCACACGGCATTCTAAGCCCTTATGAAGGTGGACTATTTCAATCCATGAAAAATGTTGAATGTGATATTGTGTGTTGTCCTAATTATGAGCTGTTTTGGTTTCTACTATTAATGGTGTGGCTCTCCCTTTGCTGTTCTAAACTTCTGGACTTTTCCTAGAGTGTGCTTTGAGGTCCCCTGGTGTATGAGAGATGCCTAGCCAAAGCCATCACAATCCAGGAATCAAGGACTGAAATAGCTCCAGCAGCTCACATTTCTACCCCCTGAACTGAAACCTAAAATGAAGTAGCTTCCAAGACCACCATTGGGCCGCCTCGTGACTCCACGTGATGCGAGGAATCTGACACTGCACTGTTACCTTGTACCAGTCTTGCAACTCTCCGTTCTGCCCTAACATTGACTAGTAGCTGACGGCAACAATTCGCATGTCCAGACCCAGATTTTCGGCTGACAGTCCAGTCTTTAAACACTTTAACAACAGCTGCTCTTGAACCTTTAACAAATTCTGCTGTTTTGACGATACTCGCTCCATGGCTCAGAGCGCCAACAATTATCCCACGTTCAAAGGCTGTTAAATCGCGTTGTTTACCCGCATCTTCAGATAAAAAAATCACTTCTACTGTCGTGGTAAACAACCTGCTTCCCTATTTATAATGGTCTGGCCCTCTAGCAACTTCAGCGCAAAATTATAGCTAATTTGCCTACAAACGTCAGGTGGTCATAATAAACTGGCCATTCAGTGTATATATATATGCAAAACTGAATACTGAACATTAGCAGCTCTGAATCCTGCTTATACACCCGTTATGCAAACAAATATACCATAGGCAAGAACAAAGATTGATCAAATCATGTCATATTCTAGGTGAAGAAACACAAATCAAACATTTTGTTTGCAGTCAGTACAGATTTAAACTTTTTTGTTTTGCACACCTAGATCCTCGTCAAGGCAGTTTGACATGGTTAAGTAGCACCAAAATCCTTGTTCACAAAAAAAAAATGGGTCCCTCAATGAATGCAAGGTACCATTGGTATCTAAAATCATTAAAAATGATCATTAATGTTGCATCAGGTATGGTAAAAAAAACCCCCCAACAATTCAAGAACCATTTACAGAGCCAGTTTTCACAAAAGTGATTTTGCACCGCTCGGATGCTGGCAACATTAGGTTTTATAAACAAACTACCTTGGTGACAACAGTTGAAAAAGACATAGCTGGGTTTATGCTGAAAGTCTGTGCGTTTTTTAACTTTTTTTTCCAAAGACGTCTCCAAATGATATAATTTAAAATAAAATAATGGTGAAAAAATGTGAATGTGAAAAGGATAAAAGAGGTTGCTGAAGAATACCCCATATTTTTTTTCTTTTTTTTCTCTCTGTCCTAAGTTTATTTTTTTCTGAGCAAAATACTAATCCGAGTTCAGTTAAACTGAACACTTCACATCTAGGCAACATCATCATTATCAATTAGATATAGTCAAATACAATATTGTACATAGATTTTTCTCCTATACAATATTTACAGCAAATTTAGAAAACAAAAAACCCCCAAAAAATGTAGAAAAAAATACCACACACGCAAACTGTTTATCTCCCCGATAATGTCATCCCTCAAACATACTGGGAAAATATGATTTTAAATTGTCATCTAAGAACAAGAACAAAAAGGGGCACAACTGCCATGTAGTAATGATTAAATAAATGTTAGAACCATGACTAAAAAAAAACCAAAAAAACTTTTTCCACTCCTCTAAATTTAAGTAGCAGTATATCTCCACGCCATCAGCGACTACCTTGAAAATAAAATGCACACACTTTAAAAATTCTACAATGTTAAAGAAAAATATCTGAGTTTTTTTTTGACCAATAGCTATATATGTCATAGTGCTGAAATGACTGGAGAGGATTTTACAAAGTGACAGAGGAGGTAAAATTACTTATTCAGCTCAATGCTAATGGAATTGTTAGCAAATGTTTTGCAGTGCATCACAACAGCAAAACGTGGTTTAAAGTTTCGAACAATACACTTTTTACAGACTTCCAGTAGCACGGAGGGTGAATTAAGCCACAAAAGAAAGCTTCTTCCCAGATTAAAAGAAACAAAACAAAAAAAAAATGATAAAAAGTTGATAACACCATTTTTATGTTAAGGGATGCAACAGAATATATATATCGAATTAACCCCACAACATTAAAAATACTGAATGTAAGTACAATTAGATTACTCAAAATAGGGAATAAAATAAGGATGTCTCTTTGATATTGGATTAACAAAGCTTTATTACTCTGTTGGTAAGAGGCTATGAAGCTTTTGTTCTTCAACCTAGATTAAATGAAAACCCGGATGTCTAATACAACAGAACACAGATATGGTACCATATTGTTATTATGAGATTTTCCAATTTAATGAACATCTTTGGAGAGAATAGCTGTAGAAGATATTTTTTTTTACTACCCTGTTCATTATTCCTGAAAAGTAGAACTGCACCAATTCTAGTTTTGCTGAATGCACTGCCAATGGCTGTGGTCAACTCATGACATTATTTAGGTCAAACTAAACATGTTTTTCTCACAGGCATCCGTACTTACTACAAATTTTCTGTCAAAAACAAACTTTTTGTGGGGTGATAAAAATGTTATAATAAAATGAAATGATGCTAGCAGCCAGGTTAAAATATTTAAATGTGTGGATATAAAAAAAAATAAAAAGGCTGGTTAACTATTTTTGGGTGCATGACCAAACTGAAATTGGCAGTGAACAGTGAGCATAATTTTGTGGCAAGTAATTCTTTGTGGCGAGTTACCCTTACAACTGGATAGATTTGTTAATCCAAAATCGAAATGCCCGCCACCCCGGACAACAGGGAATCTGGCTCTTTCACACGCACAACACATACACGCATGCTTCCCAATAAATAACAAGGGACAGAATGTTGGGGCTGCTTGCTCCTGTCAGAATATGTCAGTCACTGGAAGCAGATCTGAACAGAAGACAGAGCCAGAAATCCTCTGCACAGTATGACGGGGACGGCACAAGGAGCAAATGAAAAAAAAAAAATGAAAAAATGAAACGATGCACAGTTAGCAATTCCTCCTCCAGCTAAAGAAGGACAAAGAACAAAAGGAAGAAGACAGAAGTCAAGAGAAAGAGAGAACCACCTTGATTCAAATAGGTGTCACTGTTCAGAAGCCTGAGGCCTAAAGTCACGTTAAGGCCTGCAGAACTTACGTCATCCATTCCTCCTTATAGCTCGTTGCCTTGACAACAAAAGTTAAGTCCAGGACAGAACACATTGCCTCTTCCGCATGGCATGTCTCTCTCTCGTTACTTGAGTCACTTGTTTTTATTTTGTGATTTGATTCCCCCTTAACAGGTTGTCGACTTTTATAGCAGTCATGTGTTCAGTCACGCGCACTTGCTCTGTGCTTGCGTGAGTAGGTCAATGAAGGTGTTGAAGAGTTTTTCGAGCCAAGGCTGGTTCCTCATGCACTGCTGAACAACCTCTTCTTGCCCCAAATCATCATTCTGCTCTTCTATTGCATTGGTCTGTATAAGGGGAAGACAACTGTTAGCATCAGATGGACTCTCACTCACTGATGCCTGCTATTCGTAAAAATATTTATTCTCAACAATCAACATTCCCAAACGAGATACATCAAAATACACTGCCTGTTCAAAAAAAAAAAAGGTCACACTAATTTTATTGGGCTGCCTTTAGCTTTGATTACGGCACGCATTCGCTGTGGCATCGTTTCCATAAGCTTATACAATGTCACAGTATTTATTTCCATCCAGAGATGCATTCATTTTTCACCAAGATCTTGTAGTGATGATGGGAGAGTCGCACCACTGTGTAAAGTCTTCTCCAGCACATCCCAAAGATTCTCAATGGGGTCAAGGTCTGGACTCTATGGTGGCCAATCTATGTGTGAAAATTATGTCTCATGCTCTCTTTCACAATTTGAGCCCGAAGAATCTTGGCATTGTCACCTTGGAATATGCCCGTGCCATCAGGGGATAAAAAAAATTAATTGATGGAAAAACCTGGTCATTAAGTATATTCTGGTAGGCAGCTGACCTCATTTTTTGGGCACATGACATTGCTGAACCTAGACCTTTTATCTAATTGAAGGCTCTTACCTATTTGCTTAGCTAAATTCAGGTGGTGACCTTTTATTTTAGACAGGCAGTGTATATGTGCAACATATATTCAAAATCATCCCAATAAGACCTATAAAGTTATTCAGATACACTTTGTGTAAAAAAAAAAGTAATAAAATAAACATAACTGGCCTACAGTTAAAATAAATATGAAGTTATAACAATAAAAGAGAGGGAAATATTTACATATGTTTAAGTCTTATATATTATTAAAAAAATACATTATTTTACTACCTGAAAATAACTAAATAATAAGAGATTCTTCACAGATAATAAGAACACATTAACTAGAACCCAGCTGAAACAAATATCTCCAAAACGGTTTAATTACTAACCTGAAATGGAAAATTTTAATTAAATTATTTAATTTTTTCACAGCTGATGTTGCTATCGCATGCAATACATTTTATAAAATGATTTTCAAAATAATGATAAACTATTTCAATCAATAATAATTATTATGAAATATAACATTTTCTAAAGAAATTACACCAAACAGGATACTCTGATAGCAATAGCATTTTAGCTATTTTGTAACAGACAGCTGGTCTAAAGGAACATGAAAAATATATATTAGCATTTTTATTAGCATAGCAGATACGGTCTTTGTCAGTATTCCTCAGTAATTCATATTGTTTTTTCTGATTTTAATTGTTCAACATTAACATTTTTATTACATACTTTCAAGTGTTGTTTCGTAAATAATCAATATTTTATCTATTATACTTTTTATTTTTACCGACTGAATAATCTTCTAGGTAAGCATATTGTAGAGGAATAATGCATGACAAATGTCACACACTCTCCCAGTGGAGTCTACAATTGGCTTTGTTAACACACAGGCATGTTCCACTGTTGTCACCATCAGGAAACCAACAAATGCCATGCAGAACTATTTGTACCACATGTATGTAGACAGGTAGTGGCTGCAAAGAGGACGCAGGGTATCAACAGCCCTCAGATGCAAAAAATGAAAAATAGGTGAAAACAGCATTTTATAGAAAAATTAACAGAAAACATGGGAATTGTTTATGGTACAATTCCATAAACAATTCTTTAACTAAATGTCACTCAATCAGGGTTTACATTTACTTTAATAGGTAATGTATAACAATTACACTTGCAGGGTTATTTACTAAAGGGTGAAGAGTTTGGAGAAGGCCGGAGAAGTGAACAATCTAGGCCAAAATAGCTGATTTGGAAACATTCTCCACTTCAGCTCACAACTATGTTGTCCTAGATTGTTCACTTCTCCAAACTCTTCACCCTTTTGTGAATAACCCTGTTGGTCTTTTTATGCAATACCATTTTAACAAAAATATCAAACTGCAAATATTAGTGACTTTTGGCAAATAAAGAAAAAAAAATACAGACCCCAAAAATAATTTTCTGTTAATTCTTTGCCATACAGCAATCAAAACGTACCTCTTGCTTGCAACGTAGGAAGGTGTGATACTTGTAGTGATGCAAGGAATGGTACAAGGAGTAATAAAGTGACTTCTCAGCATCCACCTTGAATTCCTAGAAGAAAAAAACACACCCATAACAATTGTGGAGGGGAATTTAAGTAAAGATGAAACTGAACTTCCTCTTTGTTAATTAATTTTTGGTTGTCAATGAGGTCTCCAATAGGCAGAAAACTTCTGTTTCCTACAGCCTAGATGTTATCTAGAAAAATGTGCAATCCATCTATTGACAACAGTTTCCATGCTGAGATTAGTCACAGATCGTTTCAAATCAATATGTGCAAGTGAGAGAGTTCAGGAGACCACTCCGATACCTACACCAGGTATGTCCAACTAGGAGGAAACCCTGGGACAAACCTTGACATGCTGGCCTGGGGGAACCATGGATCCCCCTCTGAGCTAGTGTCTTTGGTTTGTTAAATGAAAGGTTGGACTGACCTAATAAACCTGCCATCCCAATGGCTTCTATTGGCATAAGTGGACCAGAAATGGATGGATACATGGGTGGAAATATGATTACTTTTCACAATCACCAGAGCTGTCCATATGCGCCCTACCTGTGGTTTGGCTACATTCTTTTTTAGCTTGTTGAGTGTTTTTCGGTTGTAAGGCTCTCCGCCAGGTTTCATCCTCACAGTAGACTCCCCTGAATCAGTAACTAGCTGTGGAAATGTGTGAAGCGCCTCCTATAGGTAATGAGAGAGCAAGAATGAATATATATTTCCAAACATGAAGACATTAGGTGCAGTTATGTATTCATTAAAAAAAACAAAACACTGATTTACTCTTCACAACTAGTTACAGAATATGTCTTGATATAAGACCTCTTGTAATCCCCTGCACAGTGCACAAGTGCTGATCGTGAACATGCTGACAAGAGATGAGAACAAAGGGATGATCTCATCAGTCTTCTGCTGCTTCCTTGCCCCATCAGCAAGCTGAGGTGTGGGGTGTTCTGATCTAGAGTTTTTTCACCAAGCCATAATAATGCAGCAATGGCAGCAGAGGATCTGGCCAGGGAAGTCTGGATCACACAACTGGCTGCACAGAATTACAAACACTATGGTAGGTAAAACCAGTCCCATATATGTATGTTAACCATGTATGTAGGTGCTTGCCAGGAGTTAAGCTATAAACAAAAGACAAAACAGAACAACCACACACATATGAAGTCAACAGATAAATTAGCTTCCACTATGCTAAGGGAGGCATGACAGCCATACCAAGTATCCTTGTATAACCACACTCGGTTCAAGACTGTGATTTACAATTGACTAACACAAACAGTACTGATATTCCAAGACAACAGTGATAAGCTGGCCATACACTGTTTGAATTTTGGCCAAGGTTTGCCAACTGTATCTTGTCCATCAAAATGAGACTTGGTTTAGGGCCAAGGCTTTTACCAACAGTGCAAGGGGGGGATCTAAAGTGTACATGAACTTAAAACAAGAAGCTTTACTACATTATAGGGGACATCTAAAAATTATATTGTGCTTAAACAGCACCATGAAAATGCACCTGATGGTCCTAATACCTCCTGAAAAATACCTCTTAATACCTCCTGAAAAATAGCAGTAAACCTGGTATGTGAGGGTGCCAAGCACACCTGAGCCAAAAGCCTCATAGTTGTATATCTGCAGTATGAGATCCAAGCCACTGCTGACAATGCTAGTCTTGGTGATCCTGGAGGCTCTATAATGAGGAAGCAGAGCCCTGTCTCTACCAAGATGACCGCTTCCACACAGAGACACCGTGCAGAACAAGGTATGGTAAGGTCCATAATAAAGACATGATCAGCTGCAGGGAGACCACAGGCAAAACTGTTGACTATTCCTTTGCTTACTTTTTTTCTTTAAGAGTGAGTACTCCCTCAAAAAAAAAAAGTATTTCTAGATACCATTGGTTCTTACAAGAGTTCTTTAATTGTTGAATAATGCATTTTATACATCAACGGGTTACACCAAGTGACATTCTTGGAAGATATGTTTCAGCAAGCAGACGCTGCTTGAGGTCATACCTGAACAGATGAACTCAGTGAAAACTTCTTCAAGACTTTCTTCTTGTGTTCATTTACAATGCCGTCAATTTTCCTCATTGGTGGGAGGTAAAGTTCATCTGAAGAGGAGGCAGAAAAAAAAAATGGCGCCGCCAGTCAACCAGTGACCTTGAGATGGTGTAGCAACACACGGTAAACTCAGTCACAGCAGGTAAAGCAATATTGATTTAATTGCTCACATGAACTCAATACCTGCTACTGACACTACCAGAATAAAGTGTGACTGATTTCAAATGAAGCCCATTTTCATTAATTCACTAACAATGTTTGAGCAAATACGAACTGATCTTAAAGGTGCAATTCAGTCAGGCATGACATTTTTTTCACTTGAACTGACTTAAAATCCAGCTCTGAGCACAATAACCTTATGATGGTTAAGGCAATAAAACATTCCTTTGCCCTATAAGCAAACCTCATCATGCAGGCTTTCTTCTGCTTGTTTACATGCAAGGATTAGTACAGCTCCCATTGTTCTTCTGGGCCGCTAGGATGTAAGTGCTTCAGGTCTCATAGGCCTCAGCACTGTGGTCATGTCTCCGTCCCTTCTCCTCCAATCCATTCAAAAACACACAACCTCAGCACTGAGGTCTATGAGTCCCGCAGCACTTACATGCGAGTGACCTGGAAGTAAGTGGAGCTGTTCTAATCCTGGCATGTAAATGAGCAGATTTGCAGGACACATTTGAAAACCTGCATGACGAGGGGTTTGCTTTTGAGGAAAAGTAATGCTTTATGGCTTTAACCCTGGTAAGGTTATTGTGTCCGGAGCTGGCTTTTAAAGGATACAATCTATGTTCTGTGTAGCGTACTGCCATGAAAATCTTCAGTTGCTGTATTCATCTGAATGGCCCCTGAATCTAAACTAAACAAATGCTGTGTCCATTGGTACCAGCACAGTTCCATCTCCTGGCCCTTTACAGACATACACTGGAGAATCGGAGAGGGGTTGCACCACACAGATAGGAGTGCTGTCCAGAAGCACTGTAAAATCTGATAAATCTAGCAGAAATGAATTGCATAAAACTCAGACTAAACTAAGGTAACCAATTCAATGTTTTGGCATTATTAGAGTTGCAAAGATTCCATTAGAAATTCAAAAACAAATTTTGTTTCCTTGAGTTGTTCTTTATGAGGACAGTAACTACGAATCAGTTGCTTGATGGAAAGCAAAAAGGTTGTGACCTTATTTCAATCTTGTGTCATGGGTGCATCCTGTAAGAATTGTTTATTTGTAAATTCAATATTTTATACATTTCATTTTCTTACATAGATTCATATTTCTCCATTGATCTTTACAAAGAATCTATGTAAGAAAATTAAATGTATAAAATATTGAATTTACAAACAATTCTTACAGGATGCACCCATGACACAAGATTCTCATTGAACTCTTAGATTTCTAAACAGACCCCATCAGAAGTGGTTTCCTTAAAAATGTATATTTTTTTAAAATGTGTTTTTTGGTCCTTACCATAATGAATGTATAAAATTAAATATAGAACCTGTAAACAAATCTCTATATAGTCTCTCTAAGGTGATATCAAAAGGAACACTAACAGATAGCTGACCTATAACATGCACATTACAATATGTACAATTTTTCCTGAGCAAAAATCACATTGACAGACCCGACTAGCCATTTTAAGATGAAATGGACTTTATGAAAACAAACATTTTCTAATGCAATTCTACTGGTGTATGGACAACTTTAAAAAAAAGGTCAATAGCCTTGGGTGCTCACACGCCCACAAATGTATCTGTTGGGACCTTTTTTCACTTTGAGAGCCTATGCCCTGATCTGTGTAGTGGGGCTAGTGCCAGAGGCTATTTCAGCATTTTTTTATGTTACATAATTTTTTGAATTAAGTGGAGTTTTAATAAAAAAAAAATATAAAAGTTTGATACTAGGGATGCACCGATACCATTCTTTGGGGCAGAGCCGTAGCTAGCTCCTTTTGCGCCCGAGGCAAGAACAGAAAATTGTGCCCCCCAACAGACGTGTTATGTCACCCATCGCTGCGCACGCAAGGCGTCATGTGATGTAATGTGCCCGCCTCCGGGATGGCGGTGCGCATGCGCAGGTGGCCAAATCCAAAATATCATAAAAATGTGTTTCGTTTGACGAAACTGATGAAAAGATTTTTAGTTTCCATTCATTTCGTCCAAAATACATTTTTAGTATTTGCACATGTCTAGTAATATGTGAGCATGAGTGCGTGTTTATGTGGATGTTTTTGTTTTTTTACTGGTGGGGGGGCATCGAGAAATTTTAGGGGTCTAAACAGCCCTTTTGAAATAGAAAAAGAGATTGAGGACACAGAGTCCTCTGTCCATACAGGCGGGGGAGAGCAGCAGGGATCCGAGGAGAAGCTGGAGCCTGTGCCGCTCCTCTTCTCCATGCTGAGCCACGGCTATGTTGGCCGCCTGGCGCCCCAGTTGGCCATGGCGCCCTGTGCTCACCCTGGCAACATGGGCGAGGGTGCGCAGCCAGGTTAGCCCTGGCTACGCCCCCTCTCAGCTGTGCCTCACTCGCCCCATGGTAGCTACTGCCCTGCTTTGGGGTATCGAGTACGAGTCAACCAGACAGTGGTTCAGCCTGAACACTGATCCTATCTTTCAACTGAGATTACATGATCAAGCTGGCTCCATGCCGATTTTTGGGAAGCCACCTCCATTTCCCTCGTGGCACTGCAGGTCAGAGGAAATCTCCCTCTGACCGGAAGTTCCGGTATTGGCGTTAGGTATCGGAGCATTTGGGAGAGTATGTGTACTCGCCCAAATACTTGGTATCGGTGCATCCCTATTTGATACAATGAGCTATTGACACAGTCCTGTGTCCTAGTATTCTATTTAAGATTAACATATTCTCTTGTATACACTTTTCAGCTGCAGCTACTGAACCCCGTATATAACAGTCATTTTCTGAAGGGAAAAAGGGGAAATGTAAGATAAGGTGCCTAAAGCCGGCTGTATACAAAGCTACTTAATATTTATATGCAATAACTTCCTATCCTGAGCAAACCCCAATTTTGGTAGTCACCCGATGCCATGGGACTAAATGCTGAGTTTGGTCACATGGCCTCAACTAAAGGGGCTTAGGGGTTTGATGTTCAGAAGAGCCAACCAGGCAGTGGTTTAGCCTGAACACTGATCCTATCTTTCAACTGAGATTACATGACCAATGTGATGAAGGAATCCCACAGTTGCCAAGAATTTAATCTGCTCTCTCATTAAGTACCAGGATTTTATCTTTTATCATGTACTTGGGTAGGAAGATCAGAATGGGGTTGGTGTTATGACAGTATTTGCTTTTACTTCACATTTTGATCATATTAAATAAGCTTAAGGAGGAATTAGATATATCTATTGATAAAGTGGAAAACCCCTTCAAAATGGATATACCCTTTATGCACAAAAATGACGGCCATTTCCACTTGCAGTTATGCTGCCTGTCCCTAAATATCTGCTGGAAATAAAATCAAGAATACATATTAGGAAAGCTCATTACTCACCACTAGTATCTTCCAATGCCTGAATCATATCGGGGTCTAATGCAGTGCTGACCAGCATTTCTATGTAACTGCGGTACATCTCCTTCATTGCTCTTGTATTCAGCACCCGGCCTACAGGAGCACGCTCTGGAGAAACAAGAGAACTTTTATTTATCATAGAACGTAAAGAACCATGTTTTACTTTCTCTAATGTTAGCAAGTGCAATTGTTCTGTTTTATCTTGAGTACATAAAATGGCAATGTGAGCCCTTTACTTAGATCAGGGGTAGGCAAACGTCTGCCCTCCAGCTGAGAAACTACAAATTCCATCATGCATTTGCCTCTGGAAGTCATGTATAGACATGACTTCCAGAGGCAGATGCATGATGGAATGTCAGAGTCTTGCAATGCCTCAGGGGATTTGTAACTGCCCAACAGGTGTTGGGCTGGAGTTTGCCTACCCCCTGACTTAGATGTAAAGTGTCAAAGCTAAAGCGGTCTTCTGCTTTCAGACAGAAAAGTGGAAGCCTGTCTACTATGAAGGCAAAAAAAAATGCATTCGACATCCAAGATAGGAGTTTTGTTTCACTATCCTGGTCTGTGAACGAGAGAAAGGGAAGCAGGAAGGCCAGAAAAAAAATGTGACCTGCAAGGCCCTTCGTGCATGACTAATTGCAGTGTGTTTGCAACATCCCTGTCTAAAAAAAGTGGGATTAAATATATGCCCTCTGTTAATGACTATTTGGCTGAATCACATGAGTGACATGTCCCCTTGTGTAATTCTCAAGTATTGTGAAACTATCAACTTTTAAGGCAGGTCAGAGATCTATAAAAAATAGGAAATTATACGAACTAAAAGAGGGCAAGAAACAGGGAGTTAATAGGGTCATCCAATATCCCTATAATAGCCTCCCTTACTTCCTTTTAACCAAAATGAAAAAAGAGGGCTCTATGAAGTGTTGCTAGTCTGTGCAGAGATAGAGGATGATTGGAATTGAGGAAACAAGTTGGGGGCAAGGAGTGAAACTTGAGTTTGTAGCTCAGAGACACCACCTCTTACATCCAAGCATCTGGAATGCAAGCTGTTTAAGTGCCCACAAAGGGCAAAAGACACCCCACCCCCCCCACACTCTGGAAAAAAAGGGGGCGGTGCATTTTAATATAGAGGAAGGCTTGTCTGAGAATTTGGTGTACTTGGAATGACAAGCATTACAGGTGGATGGTGGACCAAGCATGGGGGGTCTTGATGGTGATGTTGACAAACAAAAGGGATATTTCTGGACAATCAGAGAGGGAGATGACTCCGCAATCTGCTCCTTAGGCTTCTTCTGCTGGAGAAATGGGTTGCCCTTGCTGCCAGTAGAATCCTTGATAGTGTTATTAAGAGCCGGTCCCAAGAGACATTCCCAAGAGTGGACATGCAAATCAAATGCAATCCAGTACTTTATCCAAAGCTCCCTACCCATATGCACTGGCATGAAGCACATGCGAGAGAAGAGATACGAGGCTTCCACCAAACTCTCACAGCAAAAATTGCTGTAGTTCTGCTGAAAATCTAACTGTGTATAGTCAGCTGGATTATGGAAAGTACCCCACGTGGAACCCAGTGAAAGACCATCCATCCCTGCAACATCCCATCCAGCAGGGTCGGCAAAGTCGGGCTAAGGACAACCAAGCCAGATAGTTTCAAATCAGAGGGAAACCTCTAGCAGCAATGTAGGGGAAAAGTGCTAGCACAAGTAATAGGAAAGTCTTTACAGCAGCAGATCTGAAGAAAAGATGCTCACCCAAGAGTAAACAATGAGAATTTTTTGTAAAACAAAACAAAAATTACAAATTTAGCTTGTTACCTTCTTCGCTCTGCTGGTCAGGGGAGGAGTCTGAATCAGAGGACGATACCACCTCTTTAAGCCATTTTTTCCTCTTCTTCGGTGGTGGTTCAGCTTTCACCTTTGTGGGCTTCTGCTTAGGTTTCAGCGCAACTTTAGGAGTAGGTGGATCTACTTTATCCACTTTTTCAACCCTTGTGTGTTTTTCAATTTTTTCTGCTTTCACTGCTTTATCAATCCTATCAACTCGGTCATTCTTTGTCACTTTTTCCCGCTTTGGTGATTTTTCTATCCTTTCTAGCTTGGGCATTTTTTCAGGTCTCTCAGACTTATCTGTTCTTGAAAGTCTATCTGTCCTAGAATTCTTGGATGCTCTCTCAGCTCTGGTAAGCTTCTCTGGCTTTTCCGCCTTTGTTTGTTTCTCTTTTTCTGCCCTGGGTGACCTATCCATTCTCTCAAGCCTGCTTGGCTTCTCGTGACGATCTACCTTCCCAGCCTTGTCTGTACGATCTCCCTTTGTATGCTTTTCCAACTTCGGCGGTTTTTCAGCTCTCTCCGTCCTCACCACCTTATTTTCTGTAGGCTCCTTCTCAACTTTCTTCACAGCTTCCACCTTTGGGGTCTGCTCCAATGGTTCTGGTTTAGACTTTCTCTTTATTGCATCATTCTGCTCAATCCTGCTGGGTGTCCCCATTTTGTCAGATTTCCTCACCACTTCCTCTTTGTCCAGCGCTTCCAAGACTTCTTCTTTACTTGGCCTTTCAGGTGGTAAACTGGTCTTCCCAACACTTTCAGCCTTATGAGCCTTTTTAGGAATCTCTAACTTCTCTGACTTAACGGCAAGTTCCGACTTCTCTGGTTTAACAGCTGAAATGTTTTTCCCCAATTTTTCATTTTTTTCTGGTTTTACTGCAACTGTTGGCTTTACAACAGAATCTGCCTTTTCCTGCCTTAAACTTGGATTACTTTTGTCTTGTTTTAAAATGCGGTCTAGCTTTTCATGTTTTGCAGCACTGGAGCTCTTTTCAGGCTTTAGAATGCGTTCCAACTTTTCCTGTCTGAATGCTGGACTAACCTTTTCTGACTTCACACCAAGGTCCAACTTTTCGGCCTTTCCAGCTGCAGAAATCTTTTCCGCCTTCAGGGTAAGCTCTTGCTTTTCAGGTCTTGCCACAGTAAGACTCTTTTCGGGTTTCACAGTGACGTCTGGTTTCTCTAATTTTGCCACAGGTTCGACTTTGTCAGGTTTGATTATGGATTCTGCTTTTTCAGGTTTTGGTATCAGCTCAGTTTTTTCTGCCATAATCGCTGGCTCAGCCTTCTCGGGTTTAACCACAAGTTCAGTCCTATCTTCCTTCTCCAAAAGCTCAGTGATGTCTTTTTCCTCGATCGGCTCTTCCTGGTCATTTAGCGGCACTGAATCAGTCTTTACGATTGTCTCATTTTGTTCCAACTTTTCACTATCTTCCTTTGCTGCATTGGTTGTGATGTTTTCATATTCCTCTTCTTCTTCTTCATTAGTAGTACACTTTTCAGGTTGCTGAATGCTTTCAAATGTTTCAGTGCTCATCTCCTCTTCTTCGATGTTATCAGTTCTCTCAATGCTTTCCGTCTTTTCTACCTTCTCTATTACCTCTGGTTTTTCGGGTCTCTGAGTGGGATCCACTCTTATAGGACGATCCGATTTCTCACACTTCTCTGGCTTATTAACAGCCACAGGACTTTTAGCTCCAGGGGCTTTTGTTTGACTTTGTCTCCTATAGAATAAAAAATAAACACGCTAGTGGTACACATGGGATGGATGCAAGAAACACTGCTGTAAAATGTAAGGAAGAAACTATCGTTTTTAGTCAATCTTGTTGAAAGCTTATAAACTAATGTTTAATATATTTCTAAAAATTGGTATAACAAATGTAAGTTAAAACTTTTTTTGCAGGGTATACCAATGACAGCTTGCAAAGACTAATAACAAAATATCAAAGAAACTGCTTCAGGTGGATCTTTGCTCCCAGGCCCATCCAATATGGCTGGGTGCTGGTCCAGTTCATTTTACCTGCAGATAAATACTAGGAATATGAAGGATTCACTGGACAGTGGAAAAAAAAATCTTAGGAAATTAAGCACATGGATGTCCCATTTCATAAAGGAAGAAAAAAGTATTCTACTGTTCTGTTGTGCATCCTTAATACTCTTAGTTTGTAAAGACTGTTCGGTTTCCTAATAGGAAAGCCCACACTATTTGCATGCTTTTTGACAGCTTGTATTAACTGATTAATCAATACAGCGTCGTCTCCTCTGAATCAGTTAACACAGTGCAGAAAGCGCCTGTTGAGAGGTCCTGCTGTTGAAGAAAAAAAAAGGGTTTGCCACAAGCTAGCTTTTAAAAAAAGGTAAAATGAGGTACCTAAATATAATATTTCATATTTACATGATGAAAAGGAAATTAAAAAAAATAGATTTCAATATTGAACATAAAAAAATATAAAGTTAACCAGTGTTGAAAGAAATAGGAAGATTGCCACTGCTGATCTCTTCTTCTGCACTTGCTACTACAGAGGCAGAATTGCCTGAACCCCTCCCACTGTGAGCTGCAATATCTGAAAGGGGGAGCATGTGAGACACAAATGCAGAAGGATTTGGCACATTCAGGGGAGGTAAAGAAAGTTACTTGTTTACTTTATGATGTTTGCACATCACACTGTAATTGGATTTGGGACCTGTTTAGACTGCTACCCAAGAGCTTTTGCATGTACTTAATACTTTCTCTTTTGCACAACAGGAGTTCTGACTCCACCTGCTGCACACTTGTTCCAAGTCAATGACTAAAAATATTGAAGCCCAAGTAGCCAGGCAACTAGCTAGAAGCTGAAGCAACCAGTGATGCCAGCCTACATATACAGTATTTCCAACAGCTATGTTTTTAAATTCACTCTACATTCTATTAAAAGGAAATCATGGGAGATATATGTAGGCAGCCTTTGCAGTCCTCATCTCCTGAAAGTGCTAATTTCCGGTCGCTATGATAATCCAAATGTATCAATGGTTGCAAAGTCCTTCACCTGGGACAATTAACAAGCAAATAAATTCTGACTTTATTCCAACTTTTAACACATGCTGGTTCTGTGACTTAGAAGTACTGAAACCACACAGCCAGAAAACAAGTATTTGTTTTAGGAGAAAGTCAGCAACAATGGTCCCCATATTTTTCTGTGTACTTTGAAACCAAGAGGCCACTGGATGGTGGTGTTGAGCCAACAATGTTCCCACTATCCATTTGTTACAAATGCAAAAATTATTTGTTGCCAAGAAGGAATACATACATCCTGTATAATGAGCTTGATCAACACATGTATATTTCATGCATCTGCTTGACGTAAAGTGCATTTTTAAAGGATCCAGCACATGACGTACTAAGAGAATTTGTGCACTCTAAACATATCTGTTCTACAGAAAATCTCTACTCTTGAATGCCCACCTTTGCCAAACACATGGACATGTGAGCGCTTGTGAAAATGCACATATTAGCAACTATTATAGTTGCTTTACTGCATGCACATTGCATTCAGTAATCTCTTTGCTACATGTAACAGTGCTAACTCTTATTTTCTGCAACTTGTCATTTGACAAAATGAAATATCTAACTAAAAGTCTATGCATCTTAAAGTGTACATATACCCAAAATCTTTTTTGGTTTTGGATAGCAAGCCAGACAGCGTCATTGGTTGCGAAGACATTGGCAGCCCGATAGCGTTATTGGATATTGCCTCCACCTGCGTCCTAGCAACCATTGACATTGTGCAGCCCAGCCCTAGCATCCCAGCAACTTAGGACACCACTGACGCTGGGTTCAGTTCACTTGGACGTTCAGTAAACTTGGATTTTAGACTGGATTCGGCTAATGTCCAAGTAAAAGGAAACCAAAGCAGTTCGCTCATCACTACAATTTAAAGCCAAAACATTCCTGATAGAGGAATTTGCCTGTTACACAATGGTCACTGGAACAGATGCACCCATTGGAAGATTTACCATATGCTTTTGTGGTGGCAGGTGCTCTAAATTTTTGGATTTCCCCTTACTTGGTCACCAATACAAATAAAAGGGTGAACCTCCCCAAAAGGGGACACGGACAAGAATAAAAATGTTGACACAGGGTCTTACAATCTTTCTCGCTCTGAGAAAAAGACAAAATTACATATTATTACAGGCAACTTACTATGTTAAATGAATCCAATACGTTTTACTAGCAAAAAGGTTTTCATTATGTCCAGGGACAATGGCTCTTGTACATAAGTGGGGAGTTACTCTTGCAGGGTTGGAACTTAGTGCTATAAGGCCAATTCATAAAATGAAGTCAAGTGGAATCTGGAAAGAGCCAAGGTTTTTCTGGAAGAAGTGCGTTATAAAAGGGTAAGGATAGTCTCAAGCATTGTTCATCTATGTTTATTTCCTTAGATCCTAAGCATTTGCAGTGAAGCCAAATTTGGCTTTTAGAAAAACATACAGAGTCTAACAGAAGTGCCACAATACCTCATAGTCTGAAGAGGACGATGCCATGGTTTTCTGGAACAAACTCTTACGTAGTCCTTCTTGTTGACATTCTCAAGGAACTTGACATACAGGCGCTGGTAGCGGTTTTTGGCATCACCAAAGTATCCCAAATACTGAACAAAGAAAACCATTTGTGGCTATTAGTAAATATTCTACCTCGCTGTACAGATTTTCTAAACAGTGCCACCACCCATGTTGTACCATGGCAGAGATTGAGAACATAAAAAAGTGGACCTGAGATTACAACCAGCAAGGTAAAACTTTAAAGTACACCTGCAATCAAATAACCCAATATGCCTGGGAAGATTTACTGAGCAAATCAAGGCAACAAGTGAAACCATCAGTGAGCTGGTCTCTGTATTCATTCTAACGCCTTGTTGCTGTTATTATTTATTCTTTATAATAGTGCAAACATCAGGTAAAAAAAATAATTTTGACCAGAGGGGGCGCAGGGGATGCAAATTTTGTATAGAAAAAAACAATAACTATGAAGCTAAGGATGGGTTGACAGATAGGGGAAAGAAAGTCTGATGACATCAATTTCACAAGAGGCATCTGGGGGGCAAAGGGCTGTCCAGGAATTGCTGGTAATCTGTTTTTTTTATCTTCACAATGTTAGGTTGATTTATCTGTGAAATCTATGGTATATATATTTTATTTTTGACTATGTTACAGAGTAACCCATGGGACTGTGAGTGTTAACTTTTAGACTAGATCTGCTTTAAACAACTTTTTTTTATCACAACTCCTTAAATACAGAGAATGTTTTATTCTGGTGCTTAGGTTACATCTTTGTTACAAAATTTGAACTCAGAAAGTTACTTACATTACTGGTGGCACAAAATTGCCGCTGCCCGTCTTTGATCTCTGGGGTGAATTTCTGCAGTAGCGCTTTTTGAACCCGCCAAATTGGAGGAGGCTCGCGGCCTGTCTGTAGAGCAAGCTGTTGAGACAAGTTGACAATCATGACTTCCTCATTAAGACTACACACAAAGGAATCAATTGGTCAAGAGGCAGATTTTATTTTTTGTTGCGGAATATTCTCCATATCAATACGTCCAATGAAAATGTGCCCGTTTCCATAAGTCAGCATTAAAAAACAAAAACAAAACACACATTGCAAAAATGTATTTCAAGTACCCTAAAATGTTAATCTCATAAAAATAATTTTAAAAGCGCTTCAGCTTCTGTCATATGACCTATTCCTTGGAACTGGTGTGTATCGAGGCATTGACATCAGTGGAGTTTTGAGACATGAATGCCTAGAGCCTCTATGAAGACATGCCAGACTGAGTGGATATACTTGAAGACCTTGAAGGCACAGATCCTCAATGACCACTGGACGGCCATGTAGACTGTGACACAGACTACATCACATGATGGGATCTGGGGCATCAGGATTTTGTAATAACCAAAGCACAATAAAGTTTAGGATAGAAACACATTCCTGTAAAGTTTACTGTTTACCTGTTTTTTTTTTTTAGGTGAGGTTTATTTCTTTGCATTTGTACTGGGACCAAGACCTAGGTTTGGTGTCAGAAAGGACAGTTGGCATACCTAAATCAAAAGAGAACTATGAGGTGAGTGCTTTTCACTCACCTCATAGTTCTAGCCGACCTGTGACAATGAGACTGTCACAGGTCGGCTCAGTAGATCGGGAAGTGAGTGAACACTTACCGGCGTTTGCTCACTTCCCGATCCTGTCACGGCTCTCTGCCGTGACAGGGGAGGGGCTGGATGCCTCCCTCCCCGCTCCGATCCTCCAGAGCTGACTGGCGGAACGGACGGGGACGGGTACAGCTGGCTCTGCCTCTAGATAGGCAGAGCCAGCTGTCACTCACTCAGCTGGGCGGATCCAGACATAATTGGCGGGATCCGCTTCAGCTGCGGCGTCTCAGTATACTGGGTATACTGAGTTTAGGGTGACGGGAGGATGCTAGTTTGTGTCCTCCCGTTACCCTAGGGAGAACTATGGGGAAAGGCAGTGTTACTCGTTTAATCGTTAATGCTCATTTTGTACCACTTAATTTAATACAACGTAATAGCAAATAATCCATTAGGTTAGTGGTCTACTGTTTAAAGTGGGCCTCATGTATAGAGATGTTACCCCCTTCTACCACCACCAAGACCCTGACCATTTTGTCCACAAGCAATGTTTGGCTGTGTGTGCAGGCACCTCTACACGCCTGCAATTTATTCTTGTCAACAGCTTATTAACTTTTAGAAAAACAACTGGTTTGCTTTAAACAAAACAAAAGCACTGCTGATATACCTTTAAAGCCTGGATGTCTTCCACTCGAATGACAAACTCATCTCTCTCCCTGAAGATACCCTCCCCGCTGCTCTCAACATCTTCATCGTCGGTCTCTCCACAAATTGCAGCTGTCTCCTGCTTTTTGGCCAGATGTAGGGGTCTGGAATCTTCTGGTTCCTCCTGTTCAGGGGATGACTGGGAAGGGGGCTCTTCTGGTGGAGGAGGAGCAGGAGCCTCTTGCGGAGATGGTGGGGAGATCGCCACTGGCAGCTCTGGCTGCGAGGAAGGTTCAGAAGGCACAGGGCTGGACACCGTCTCCTCAACTATGGCGGGAGCTTAAGATAAAAGAAAATATATTGAAAAAACAGCTTCCTTTGTGGTAATATAATTAGACATATGCACCAGAAGGTAAAGACTGCAAGACCTAACCCATAGCCTACTTTTTATGAAGGGGTAACAAATGTAATTTTCATTTGCAAATACTAAAGCGAAAAATACGGTACATCAAGGGAGATATAAGAAAAAAACAACCTCTAAAGCAAGCATTTGATTATTAGAAAATCCTTAACTACATTAGTATCAGGTCAATCTGTTTTTATATTTGCTGACCATAACCCCCTGCACAGCAAGACTATGGCTGGCAATACACCTATCAATTTTTTACGTTCAACCCACGGGCTGAACGAAAAAAAATTGAACTGATTCCTCCATCAACACAAACAGCGCGTCGATCAAGAAATCGCAGCTGTTTACATTGTATTCTGGCAGGTGCCACCGTCACCTGTCAGAATACCCAATCAGAGCAGGCAGCTCATTGGCTGCCAGCTCTGATAGTACACACTGCGAATTACAGCCAGTCTATGGGCACTTTAAGGCTGAGTGAAAGGGACAGAATTATAAGCCAGTCAGGCTTGCACAATGATGTCAGTGTTAGGCAGAACGCTTGGTGATAGAGAAAGAGAGAAGAGTGATTACCTAATCAAAGCTGCTGGTTTCACTATAAAATCATAGAATGGAGCAGGTCCATGGCCAAGCTTTATAGCATAACTGCACAGGAGAATAGCAAGTTTCACAGCTACACTGTCTTGCAGGCTGACACTTGTATTTCAACTGAGTATTTACCTACTTGCCTATAGTTCTGCATCAAAGAAAATACCAACCTGCGCTTTCTGGCTCCTTGCGGTCAGTGGGATCATATAAAGCAGATATAGCTGAAGAGATGCTTTTCTGCAAGTCTTGGTTTTTGCTGACAGAGTCCTCCTCATCTGAAGAGAAGGAAGGCAATGTCTCCAAATTCCTTTTAAATTCATCATCCAGCCTCTTGCAAGGGCTGGTGCAACTCATAACTAGGCTATCACTCTCTGTAGAGTCCAAGGTTCCAGAAAGCATCTGGGACGCCATCCCAAAAGAAGCCTGTGAGGCCTGCTGGGCAGACGGTGGCCGGTTCTTCGATGGGCTGGTGTTGGCTGTAGGTAGCTGCTGCCTTTTGCCCGACTTCAGAAAGTCTAAAAAAGAGGCCATAAAGCCTGACTTTATTTCTGGTTGCTTTTCCTCTACTTCTTTGATTTTCTGTTTGATCTTCTCCCGAGTCTGGCTGTTGTCCAAAGTGTTCTCCTGGGGAGGAGGGAGCATCTCAGCTTGATCCATCTGCAAAGCGTCATTCCCTTTTGGCACTTGCAGCTTGATCTGACCAAGGAGATAAAATGTACACATTGAGCTTTCTAGATCCTTGGAAACTATGTAACCTTTTGATGGCGAGCTTGTACATAAAACTTGATATATAACACAAAAGCTTTAGATATCTAATTTTAGAGATACCTCTTTTTTATGATTAAAGTGGGTTTTCCAGAAAAATAGTAAACATATTTCTAAAGTAGGTCCCTCCATGTAACCGAAAGATTAACATACCACCTATACTCCACCTGTCCTCTTGTTTTTACTTAAAATTGAGGGTCTGGAGTCTGGCCAGTAAATTAGAGTGGCTTCCAAAGATAAGCATTCTAGTGCTGTCCTTTTATATTTAATCTGAAGGTAGTGCTGCAGCTCCAAAGAATACCTGAGAGCAACATGAAGAATGGAGCCCTTCGTGATACCCAAGAATGAACAAATCCAAATGGGCTAAAAAGCCCTTGTTCATAAGAATAACCTCTCTATTTTCCTTGGCCCCTTAAAATTTATTGATGAATAGACTGATGACTTTTGTTTTTTGTTTTTAAACTTGCCCATCCCTAAAACTACTTAGAAGCTCCATGAACCAACATAGGACTTCTATTTTTCTGGAAATCCACTTTAATTGCCTTTTTTTCACCCTTCTGTTTTGTGAAATAACATTACAGGTACCTTTAGTGGTTTCAGTGGCTCCATTGGCATGTTCGTTCTTCCCTCATCGGTCAGTCTCCTTCCTCTCCCCCTACCTCTTCCTCTGGGCCTTCTAATTCCATCATGTCCCAGTACATGTGGTTCTACTAGAGGCCTGATTCTTGGTCTTCCCCTGGGTCTTGGAGGACCTTCTCTTTTCGGTTTAGTGGGTTTCCGACCTCGTCTCTTTGGACCATCCATATTATTTGGTGGACAAAAATCAATATCTCCCATTGGACTTATGTTAGGACGAGTACGGCAACTAGAAATAAGATCTGGGAGAAGATCAGGTAGTCTACGACTATTTAATCGAATATCTGCGGGGACATCCTCTTTGTCTTCATCATCTTCAAACTCGTACTCTTGGGCATAGTTTTTCTTGGGAGGCTGGAAAGATGGTTCCCTCTTCTTCAGCAGGTGGAACGATGATGTCTTGAGTAGTTTTTTAGGTTTGGAAGAGCAGAAGATGGGTGATGTCAGGCCAGGTTTCACTTCAGAAGACTGCTGGCTGTGACCAGACTGAATTAGACCTAACTGTTCTGTGTTGACAGTTGATGGCAGTTCATGTTTTACAGATACAGAATCAAGCCCCAAATGAACATTCTGTTGATTGTCATTACTTTCGGAGGTGCAGTAACCTGAATAACCTTGGCTAGACTGCATCATCTCATAACTGTTTTTCATGGCCTCATTCCTGTCCATGCTCTGAGAACCATCATCAGCACAACTTGCTTTGGAAAATTCATCATTCCCACAAGGTTGTGGGCAGAACATATCTTCCATTCCAGGAAAAAAACTTCTCTCCTCATCTTGTAAAAGAGAATCAGGAAAGCAAATAGATGTTAAAGGAACAAACCTCTGCTTTGAACCTTGAGGACTCGGACTATCAAACTGGTCCTTGGGCTCCATCTGAGCTTGAGGCACCTGTTGGGAGGACTCTCCATCTAATCGCAGGGGATCTCCTCCATCAGACATGAGGTGTGATTGATTTTGTACAGATCCAGTCTGGCCCAAATGTGTCTCCAAATTCAAGTCAGGTTCCAGGAAATCCTGAATTTCCTGGGGCCGTGATAATGATTGCATGCCATCATTCTGGGAATGTCCGTCCATGGCCTCAGATTGGAGCGATGCTTGCATTCTTTCTGGCTGCATCTCTGCTTGCATGCGTTCTGACTGAAGTTGTGCCTGTAGCTGAGGCGATTGCTGGTCTGTTTGCAACGGGTGGGAATCCATCAGCTGTGACTCTATTGACTGAGAACGAGAGTGTACCTCCATAGACTGTGAGCGCACATGAGCTTGCATTTGCTGGGACTGTAAGTGGGCCTCCAGAGCCTGAGACTGCAGTTGCATCTGTAACTGTGGAGATTGTGCTTCAGCTTGGATCCTTTGTGGTTCCATAAGGTGAACATCCATGGGAGTTTGTACTTTTCTCTGATGTGCCTGTAGCTGACTCTGGGTATGGGTGAGAACCGACTGCAAGAGTTGTGGTTGCTGAGTGGTCGGCTGGTGGGTAAGAGAGAGTGGCATATCCGGGGAGGTATCCATCATCATTGAATTGCCTTGCTGGCTTTGAAGCATATTGTGAGTCTCCATTGACTGACTTTCAGCCACCATTCTGTGAGCTTGTGAGGCATGCTCAGGAGTCTTTTGCAGGTTTGAATGAGCCGAGTACATGTCTTTACTTGAGGTGTCCATGTGTGGTAGATGGTCTACTGACTTTTTCATGTCCTGAGTGTAGGAATCCATGGGACCAGTCTGGTGACTATAATGAACAACAGACGTTCCTAAAGACTCCGGAGTTGACCTTGTGTTGGCATATTCCTTATGGCGATCAGATTTTTTCTTGTCTTTTAAGCTCTGAAGAGACATCTCTAACCCTTGGTTGTCCAAGTTGGAATTAGTCCTTATAACACTTTGCAGGTGATACCTCTCCTCGGTTTTACTCATTTCATAGGCCATTGATTTACTAGACCTTTCCTCACACTCAACTAGGCTTTCAGAAGAGACTCGAGGTGGACTTTGCGACTGTAATAGGTGCTGAATAAGAAAGTCTTCATCGTCTGTCCTTTCAGTGGAGAGAAGATCAGAATCAGATTTTGGTTTGTTGTAGGAAGGTGTTCTTTCTAAGGAGGGCTGGGAATTTTGATAGCTTTGTGAATGGGAAGCTTGCATGTAGGAGGGTGAAAGTACTGAAGTCAAATACTTCTGAGACTGACCAGGAGAAGCTACACTTTGAGAGCGACTTGATGTAGGAGACTGGAGAGGTCGGATTATTTGAGAGGGACTTGAATCTGATAAATTTTGGCCATGGCTAACTGAAGAATAACCAATAGATTGGGCGTGACTGGACATAGCTGGGGAATGGCCAGTGCTGTAACTTAGGGAAGGACTAGCAGTTGGTAAGCCTTGTGAATGAGCTGGAACATAACTAGATGCCTGGCTGCCAGAAACATGAGACTCAGTTTGTACACTGTAATTTGGAATCTGGCCTACTGATGATAACCCCTGCATATGCTCTGGTGAGTAGGTTTGATTCTGGCTCACGCAAGTCTGCAACCCTTGAGACTGACTAGTCGTAAAGCTTTGGGATTTGCTTCCGCTGGTCAGGTCTTGGGCTTGACTAGATGTAAAGCCCTGTGACTGAGAAACAGCTGAAAGGTTCTGTGACTGAGAATAGCTTTGTGACTGGGACATGGATAAAAGATTCTGTGGCTGTCCAGGGGAGTAAGCCTGAGACTGACTAGCAATAACAGAGCTGGGCTTTGGAGTGGAGGAGGAATAGTTGTGTGTCTGTCCAGTGGTGGCAATGCTTTGGCACTTTGGAGTGGCAGTGGATCGAGGAGTCTGCCTAGATGCTGAGTAGCTTTTGGACTTGTTGGAAGAGGAAGATGTTGAATAGCCTGGGGACTGTATTATTGGTCTGTAGCTTTGAGACTGTTCTTGGCGTGCTTGTGAGTTTTTCTGCTGTGAACCCTCGCTGCTGACAGGTGACTGGTCCCCTAATGGGCTGCAGGACAAGCTGGAACGATGCTGCATTTGCTGGTAACTGCCACCACAGCTTAGATAGTGCTGCAGGGAATGGGCAGCAGCTGCGGCCGAAGGAAGCTGGGACTGTGCACTGGAGGGCCGCTGGTAGTGCTTAATAACGCTATCTTGTCTAGGCATTGCTCTTTCAATTGAAGAGGCCGGGGAGCTTGAGAAAACAGAGGCATTGTAGAGCTGGGATGTTTGTTCGGAAGGTCCAAGAGAAGAGGACAGTAGGTTGAACTGGGAAGGAAGATGACGTGAAGCGGATTCTTGGGCACTACGATAGGCAGAACTCTGAGATGGTAATCCGGTGCCCAATACCGTGCTGCCAAGCCGATCAAAACTCAGGGAAGATGGAACAGAGGACTGTGATGACTTTATATGTAGAAGGGGATCATGAGGAGAGAGGAGTCCGTTAGAAGTAGGGCTGAAGGTGGCGTCCTGAAGACTCAATGAAGATGTTACAGGGAAACTTCTACCACTAAATGATGCTGGGTGCTGGTAAGCCGAAAGGGCAGAGGATGATGGAAATGTACCGGCTCCAGATATAAAGAGTTCTGCGGGAGCAGGGGTATGCATGGCTAAAATAAAAGACAGAGAGAAACTGCATCAATATGGAACAATAAAAATAAAAACACATTACAGTACAGTCTCTTGTTCAATCTAGAACTGCAAAGGAAATTCAACTAATACCTTACAGTAAAAATACAAACAGCTAGCTAAAAGTTAAACAAATTTGCTAAAAAACCTCACACTGCATGTAACAGTACCAACACCTGCAAAAAAAAAATTTGATTTTCCAAAAGACATTTAGACTTCATATAAAGAAGACTGTATAAGAAAGACAGCAAGCAAGAATCTTCAATGGGATTACGAAGAGAAAATCTGCACCAATCTAATGTGTTCATACACACGGGCTTTGAAAAGCGAAACAATGAACCCTAAAGCCAAGCAGAGCAGCATTTGCTTTGGAGTGCTCTCAGATTGCTTTAAACAGATTAGAATGGACCTTAAATATATATAAAATGAATGCTTCTGTGCTGCTATATTTTGCTTTCAACTGCTTCCCTGTGCACACGAGCCCTTCAAAACCAACTCCAGCTAATTCCTATACAGTTTTTGGCAGAGTGGAAAAGGTTAGGTTTCTAATGCTGTCCGTGTCCCCCATTGTGAAGACTGCCTTCCACTTCCTGTTACAGTCACAATGGCAATGTGTGAGTGCCAATGCAAGGAATAGATGAGAAATCTCTCGAACAAGGACACATGTGTCATGGGGATAGAAAGTGCAGGGGAATATGCCCAATAAGGACACACATATGAAGAAAACCCTGACCGAGATTTACACCCTTCCACTGTATTGAAACGTTTCAGCTGGACCTCAGCTTTAATGACAAAAAAAAAGTTGCTTGAAGTAAAACTAATACTGTAAAAAAAACAGCTTTTATTGATTGTTATATATTTGTCCAGAAAAAGCACAAACAGCATTTCCTAGATTAAAATGATAGTGTGGTAACCAATCTCTTGAGCAATTGGAATTTTTTAACCATTCCAATTATTGTAATCTTTCATTTTTAACCATGTTTTTGGCTTTAGTCATCTAGTGGACTTCTGCCCGCTATTTGCTGACAGCACAGAGCCACGCTACAGTTGGAAAAGATCCCGACAATATTGTCAGGATCCACCCTGCTGCATGAGTGACATCTGGCTCTGCCTCTCTAAAGCCAGTCAGCTATGCCCACCCCCTCCCCCTGCTTGTCCCTCCAATAAGACAAATACCTGGGTAGAGAACATGAGCAGAACGAGCAATCGGTTTTCGTTATCGCTCACCTCTCGATCTATAAAGCCGGAATGTGACATCACAAAGCGGCTCTAAGTATTTGGAAAAGTACATTTTTACTCGCCCAATACTTTAATGTCACAAAGTAAACCAAAATAATCAAAATACTGGTGAGAAACTATAGAGAGTTGCTGAATTCTATCAAAATATCACAACGTTTAATGTGCTGCCTCAATACAATCGGAGTCAGAATATTTGAGGTCATACAGGTGTAGCCACCAAATATAAAATCGATGATTGGGTCCCCAATGGAGAAATTTCCCTTACTTCCTGTCTACGCAACAACAAGGGTGATCAGGGCAATCAGGGGTGCCGTACCTTTCCAAGAGCAATTTGGTAACCAGAAAAAGCGAAGCGCACTTTATATATCGATTCCTCACAGGCGGAGTGTATTTGGTATCACTCCGCCTGTGACAGGAGTCGGAGCTATAGAGGAAACATCAGCTTATGCGGCTCTGCTCCCTCCACTGCTGCCTCGCTTCCTCTAGTGCTGGCTTCATTGGCACCGCTGAATCTCTCCCGCGGCTCTTCAGGTTCCCCCTTATGCCACCACCAGCCCTGGCAATGGTCACAACTAGGTCTTATTTTCGAGGTAGGTCTTATATTTTAGCAATTCCCAAAAATAGTACTAGGTCTTATTTTTGGGGTAGGTCTTATTTTCAGGGAAACAGGGTAGCTCTAACACTTTCCAACTCCATCAAAATCTAAAATACAAAAAAATCACTGGCGTTCCACTTTAAATTTCATTATTGTGGAATGTAACAAAAAAAAAAAAAGAATTTCATATCAGTTGCTTCCTATTTCCTACATGAATGACTTAGAAAGTAAACTCACTAGTCACAAAAAAGACAAAGACGGAAGCAACAAACATTGCCACTATGAGACTGCTTTATATTATAGAGACGATAGCAATGAAGATCACCAGCACTCGCAAATGGAATTAATCCAAAAGTTCTTTTTATTGTAGAATAACGTCACATGTGTCATACAGCCAACAATTGGGAACCGCTCAGGGTCCCTTCATCAGGGTAGGCATGGTCACTATGTCTGCCCTGATGAAGGGACCCTGAGCGGTTCCCAATTGTTGGCTGTATGACACATGTGACGTTATTCTACAATAAAAATAACTTTTGGATTGATTCCATTTGCGAGTGCTAGTGATCTTCATTGCTATCATCTCTGGATCTGCACGGCACCATTCGTGGACATCACTGCAAGCACCACTTCTACATCAAAGGTCTTGATTGCTGTATGGTGTGCAGGGGACATTTCTATTGATTTTTCTTTATATTATAGCACTCCTTTTTGAAAACAGTTCATAGTACACAGAACAGTTCTGATGACATAAAAATGTTTGGACTGCTTCGTAGACCATACCTGTCTGCCATGAGGGCGTGCGGAACTGAGAGAGAAGGGAGGAGGCAGAGGGTCCAGGCTGGGGAGCTCGAGATTCGAGGGCAGAGATTAGATTCATCACTGATGCATCTGGGTTGCCGCTGCTGGCATGATGGAGGCCAGTCTCAAACAACCCCGACAATCCTAATAAGATAAAAAAGGACAGGTTGCACTTTAAAAAAATATATATTCTTTTGTGACATGTATATTAGAAACAGAAAGAAAAAAAAAACAGATTCAGTAAGATAAACAAACAACAGTATATGACACAAGTCAAAACATAGAACCATTCCTTACCATTTTGTCTTAAATTGTATTGTGACTGTAATGTCTTCCTTATATTGTTAAGCGCTGTGCAAACTATTGGCGCTATATAAATCCTGTATAATAATAATAATAATAATAGAACAAAGACGCATGTTGTATGGAAAGACTATGTTTTACTGTACACTTTCTTTCATGAAAAAATAAATACAAAACCATAAAGAAAAAAAACAAAACTAATTCCTGCCAAGAGTTACAATTACAATACAATTCAAGACAAGATGGTAAGGAGATTATTGTTGCTTGCACTTTAAAAATGACATTTTATATTTTATATAGTGTATACTAGCTTACCATTTAATCTAGAATTTATTATACAAGTCTATCAATGAAACCACACTCCGCACTCATTTACTTACATATTTCACTGGTTGCAAAGGAGAAGCTATGAGACCCCGTTCACACTGAGCGATTTATCGAGCGATTTCAGCTCCAAAATCGCTCAAATATCAGTTCAATGTCGCTCAATGTAGCTCGTCCAATGCATTTCAATTGAGCTGTTCACATCTCAATGTCGCCTGTAGCTCGTCGCTCAAGCTTGTAGCTCGAACATGACCTATTTTTCGGGCGATTTTGTGCGATTTGGCCCAATAGACTTTAATGGTGTAGCTCAATGTCGCGCTACAGAAGTGTCACTTTTGCACAGAAATATAAAAAGGAAGGAATGATGTTGCATCAGGACTGCTTTTGATTGGTTACAGCCCAATGTAGCAGCTACGAAATCCCTGCGAAAAGTCGCACCACGTAGCGCGACAAAATGCGCACTGTAGCTCAATGTCGCTCAGCTCAAAATCGCTCGCTTTTTTGGATGTAGCTCAGTGTGAATTTCACTTTCCTTAATTTCACTTTAAAAATAGATTCTGCCTACATGCATACAACCCTGGACGCAGCCTGGCCATGGTCATTGTGCGCATAAGGCCTGATGCTCATATTTGACGTCCTAAAGCCCCATGTACATGACTGTAATAAAACTGCTGTTCATTTAAGCAGGATATTGCTGGCAGCAAGACCCAGCTTAAACAATGCAGGATATTGGTCCATAAAGTGCTTGCGTGCACATGCGTATGACAGCGTTTACAGATGTAAATTTCTACCTCCAAAATTGTGTGGACGCAGATTTTTCTATTTTGATTTTACCGATCTGAACGCAGTGCAAGGTTACTAATCGTTGCGCACTGTGTGAAAACAACAGAACTCAGATTCATAAAAATCTAAATTGTGTACTGATAAAAATGCAGCTCTGTGTATGAGCCCTTATGCAATTTCTACAGTCTGAATAGAAGGAGAAAAGTGGGACCTTCACTGATCTCAACTCTGGAAATACCAATGTAAGAAACATCACTTGTTTGGACTCAGTACACCAATTCACACATATGACTCAGTGGTCATTAGATAAATATATGGAAGGTATAAATGTCAGGATCTCCTAAAATCCTGATCTGATCTGAAAATCTTAGCCATCTTTCTGTTATTCATACCCACTGGCTTAAATACTGGGTTAGTCACTGAACCACAACAAATATGTAGCTCAGGAAAGTCAGACGTCTTATCAGCATTCTTGTTCTTAGCAACTGTCTGTTCATACCAGATACGTTGGGACTAGGGCTGAATCAACTAATCAATTTAAAATCGACAATAATGAGAATAATTTTCAACAAACGCTTATACAATTGAACTTGTATACCCCTCCTCCACCCTGTTTAGCCCCTGATAATTCCTCAAAGCTCCTAATAGTAAAAAAGTAATACAAAAAAAAATTACAACTGTAAAAAAAAAAAAAAAGAAGGTTAAAAAAGAAAAAAGAACCCCCTCCTTATTAAAAAAAAAAAAGAAGTGGGAAAAAAATACATTTTTTGTTTCGGCCTGACAAATTCTGCTGTGGGATGTGAGTTGCAGTGCCCATCGTTTCAATGGCACTCAAAAACATGCACCCGACCGCAGTGCGATCACCCACACTGGAACGTGAAGTACAGCAATGCCGTACTGCCCGTTCCAATGCGATGCGATTGCAAATAATTGTGCATGAAGCTTTAAAAAACTTTATGTTTGTAACACTTCGTTAGTGTATTTTATTTTAAATAAAGATGGTATTTAATTTTTGACCAACTAATCGATTATGAAAATAATTATTAGTTGCAGCCCTAGTTGGGACTATGCTGGCCACTTTTTTAAAGAGCTGCCACAATTCACAAACAAGGCTTGTTTTTTCCCAATATGCTCCATTTACACTGGTGCGGTGCTGAAAAGAAAAAAAAAAAAAGTACAGCATGCAGTACTTCTTTTTTTCAGTGCAGCATAGTGTGATGCAGTCCACCCGCAGCACGACGTGCTGTGCCGATAGAACTTAAAGTGACACTAAACTCAAGAGTTAAATCCTAAAAATGCATTTAAGTACCTTAATTATTAACAAAAATGTATCTTTTTTGTGTATCACTTGGCTGTAGATTCTCAAATCATCCCTGAATTGGTGTGGACGCTGTCCTTCCTTCTTGGAGGGTGGCTACTTTTATTCCACCATGGCCCCTGTATGTGTTGTAAAGTAGCCACCACTCCAAGCTCGCTCCTGCGATGAACTACAATCTTAAAGGAGAACTATGGGGTTAAGTCTTTTCCCCATAGTTCTCCTTAGGGTAACGGGAGGACACAAACTAGCGTCCTCCCGTCACCCAAGGCTGCTGCTCGCGGTATACTAAGATGACGCAGCTGAAGCGGATCCCGACAATTGTGCCGGGATCCGCCCAGCTGCGTGACTGACAGCTGGCTCTGCCTATATAGAGGCAGAGCCAGCTGTACCCGTCCCCTCCCCCGTCCGATCCACCAGTCTGCGCTGGCGGATCGGAAGCGGGGAGGGGGGAATCCAGCCCCTCCCCTGTCACGGCAGAGAGCGGTGACAGGATCGAGAGGTGAGCGAACGCCGCTATGTGTTCGCTCACCTACCGATCTACTGAGCCGACCTGTGACAGTCTCATTGTCACAGGTCGGCTAGAACTATGAGGTGAGTGAAAAGCATTTGCCTCATAGTTCTCCTTTAATACAAATTCATAAACTAACCATGAAATTGTAGTCCATCACAGGAGCCAGCTTGGAGCAGTGGCTACTTTACAACACACACAGGGACCATGGGGAACAAAAGAAGCCACCCTCCACTGGCTACTTTTGTTTCCCATGGTCCCTGTGTGTGTTGTAAAGTAGCCACTGCTCCAAACTTACTCCTGTGATAGACTACAATTTCATGGTTAGTTTATGAATTTGTATTAAGATTGTAGTTCATCGCAGGAGTGAGCTTGGAGTGGTGGCTCCTTTACAACACACACAGGGACCATGGGGAACAAAAGTAGCCCTCCTCCAGAAGGAAGGACAGTGTCAGCACCAATTCAGAGATGATTTGAGGATCTACAGCCGAGTGATACACAAATAAAATACATTTTTGTTAATAGTTAAGGTACATGAATGCATTTTTAAGATTCAACTCCTGAGTTAAGTGTCACTTTAATGAAATGTCACTCCTGACATTTCAATAAAGTTCTAATAAAAAAAAGTAAGCCGTGAGATGTGGCAGGAGCGATGCATACAATATAATTACTAGAAAAGCGATATGCAAAATTTGTAGACAATAAGCTTTGCATTAAAGTGACCCCATGCAACCCTAAAATAAAACTGTACGATGTAGGGATCCCTGAAAAGAACACATTGAATACTCACCTGCATCTCCCACCACTGGCAGAAGATTCTGTCGAAAACTACAATATCAGTAGCTGCACTTATTGGTTTGACGCACTCTTCCCTACTGTGTCATGTAAGGGACGGCAGAAGGACCCACGGCGCACCGCAGGGAACCATCAAATCAACCCTCCCAGAATTGTTAGATTCTGCAGGATCTTCAGCCAGCGGCTTTTCTTCACGGCTGCAGAGATCAGCGGCACGAGCAGCAGAGGTAAGTATGCAATGTCTTCTTTGCAGGGAGCCCTTTATTGTACAACTTTATTTAAACGAGAACTATGAGGTGAGTGCTTTTCACTCACCTCCTAGTTCTAGCCGACCTGTGACAATGAGACTGTCACAGGTCGGCTCAGTAGATCGAGAAGTGAGCGAACACATACCAGCGTTCGCTCACCTCTCGATCCTGTCACAGCTCTCTGCCGTGACAGGTGAGTGGCTGGATTCACCCCTCCCCGCTCCGCCAGCCTGACTGGCGGATTGGACGGGAGAGGGCGTGGGTACAGCTGACTCTGCCTCTAGATGGGCAGAGCCAGCTGTCACCCACACAGCTGGGCGGATCCAGACATAAATGTCGGGATCCGGTTCAGCTGCAGCGTCTCAGTATACCACGAGCAGTAGCTCACGGTATACTGAGCTTAGGGTGACGGGAGGACGCTAGTTTGTGTCCTCCCGTTACCCTGAGGAGAACTATGGGGAAAAACCCTAACCCCATAGTTCTCCTTTAATGACAAAGTTACTTTAAAGGAGAACTATGGGGTCAGGGCTTTCCCCCATAGTTCTCCTCAGGGCAACGGGAGGACACAAACTAACGTCCTGCCGTCACCCAAAGCTCAGTATAATGAGACGCCGCAGCCGAAACGGATCCTGACAATTCTGTCTGGATCCACCCAGCTGCGTGAGTGACAGCTGGCTCTGCCTATCTAGAGGCAGAGCCAGCTGTACCCGCCCCCTCCCCGTCCGTTCCGCCAGTCAGCGCTGGAGGATCGGGCAGGGGAAGGGGGGAATCCCTGCAGGGAGCCATGAGTGACAGTCACTGCACTCTGCACGGATAGATCGAGAAGTGAGCGAGCGACGGTATGTGTTCGCTCACTTCCCGATCT